CCCCCCCGCCCCTCCCTCTGTACAGGGGGCAGGTGTGCTGGATGGCAGGCAGCCGGTCTGTGCAGGGAGCTGGTTTTTAAATTGCCTCCCCTTGGGGATCGGCTCCCACTGCTGTCCCATACTGTGGCCTCTGATACATAGGCAGCAGCACAAGGTGGTGGGGGACTCCCTAGGAGTGGGGCCAGAGCGCACTGGCTGCCAGGCCCCAGGGCCAGGCCTATCAAATAGTTGAGTAATCAATAAGAATTCATGAGGTTAATCGACTATTCAATATTTAACATCCTTATTTCTGAGAGTTGAGACCCTCCCTGGGAGAGGGACATTCCTGGCAGGGTCTTTTCCTTAAAGCATTCTGGAAAAGGGAAGCGTTGGAGAGCCACTGGCCTGGGCCACACAGCAGGAGAGACTTTCTGTGGCCTTGGGTAGAGGGGTAAAGCCAGCGTGGTAAGATCTAGCACAGAAGATGCCAAAGTCCAGCAAAATACGTCCTCTACCCCGCAAAGCACCTGCCTTCAGGACAGCTGACCTCTGGAATGTGGGAGCATAGATCTTTGAGATCCCTGTTAGTGCCACTCCAGTCTCGTGTTGGTCAGTGTCTGTGTAGGTGGATGGCTGAGAAAAGTCACTCCATCTCCTGCACCTGTATTCCCAGCGCTATCCTTTTCCCATCATGTGCCCCAGCCTTGCTGCCTGGGATGCAGTAGCACCGAATCCCAGGTCAACTGACCTCGTTGGGACAAAATGTTCCTAATATCCTCACGATGCAACTCCCCAACCTGAGTTTGTCCTAAAGCTGCGTTGGCTTAAGACTTTGTTGTAGATCTTCTCGAGCTGCTTTTTCTGTTGGGATCATCAGCCCTGGTCTGTTTATAGTGCCCCTGTGCTTGTGGAGTGGGGACACATAACCAGAGATGTTACCAGGTACGTGGGACAGCACTAGGGGACCGTCTAGCATATTAGGTGTTAACAAAGGGTCCTTAGCCCCTGCTGGAAGGGGAACGAGATATTTGCTGCTGATTCTTCCCTTGCTCTCTTGATTATCTATTAGGTAAATAAAATTTACCGAGGGGCTGGAGGGAGCTTTCAGAAAGCCCAGGATGAATGGAACAGCGGCACATGGAGGGACCCTCCGAGCAGGGAAGCTCAGTACAATAACTTTTCCGGAAACAGTCTGCCACAGTACCCCACCGTGCCCAACTATCCCACAGGAAGTCAATGGCCTTAAGCAGCAACAGCTGTCAAACTGCCTGGATTATCTTTTTTGTGCATATGTGTGTGTGCGGTCTCATTTTTTATTATTTGAAAAGATCATTTGGTTTTTCCTGTCATTTTGAGGGTTTTTTAATCCCCTCCTCCCCAGGACTGCAGAAAATCTGTGCACGCAGCCCGTGCTGCCTCCAGGGCCTTGCACATCTCTGTTGAACATTTTATTTTGTGCACAGTTGCCAGTATTTGCCCTGCTGCAGGCCGAGGGACTATTCGCTGCCCTTGCTCGGGGGCATCCTTCAGTGATCAGTGCATGGAAAAGGCTGATTTTTCCCCTCTGCCAAGAACACTTTAAGTTGCTCTTTCTCCTGCCCTCCCTCTCCTCCTTAGATGCACAGCGCGCCGCTGCGCTCTTCCTGCTGCCAAGCAGGGGACACAATCGAAAATGGGCGTCGGCTGACATCTCCTGATGAACTATCTGGAATTTCTGTTTCTCTCACTTCGAGAAACATCTCGTCTGTTTTATTTTGTGCTAGTACAACTGAAATTGGTTGCCAGGGCTCCCTTCCTGCTCGGAAAACCTTTGAAGGTCTGTGACCTTCTCTTAAGTTCTCTGTAGTGAGAGATGCTTGGCCTAAGGCTGCCCACTGCGAGGGAGTGGTGATCAGATGCAGAGTCCTGCGCAGGCACCACTCGGCTGGTGAGGTGTCCTCCTAATAGGACTCTTGTTTTCCCCACCCCCAAAAGTTTGGGGTTTTTTAATGCTAGGATCCACATGCTTTGAGAGCAGGGGCTCACCTCGCGGTCTGTTACCCTCACTTGCTAATGGCCCGAATGAAAGCCTGGTGGAATCACTGACTTCAATGGGCTTTGGCTCCGACTGCATCCGTAAAATTCACTCTTATGTAACTAGCCAGCGTAACACCTGGCGCCATTTAAATCCCACTGACGCAGCGTCTAGGTGTTTGTGCTGGCACCGAGTATCGTCTCCCTCCTGCTTGCATCTCATCCCACTGACACCCGCGTGGTGGACAGGAGCTTCTGGCTAGGGCTCTTCAGCCAGGTGCTGGAGAACGTGTCTAAATCTGAATACTAAGACCAACCTGTGTGAGCAGGGAGGAACTTCCTTAAAACTGATGGCTTAATCCTGACTTACTCAGATCTGAGCCATGGCAGAACCCCCGCGTTTCTTATGCTGGTGAGTTGTTTTCCTGCTCCGTGTCACCTACGACTTGTAAACTGCCCTTTATTTAGTCCTGCAGGACCACAGCCCATGCATGCAGCCAGTTTACTAGGGTGTGAAGAGCTCTCCTCTCCACTTTAGCGTGTGGGCAGCGTGGTGGGATCATTTTTCCTTGGGAAGGATAAAGGTGCAGAACCCCCGCGTTTCTTATGCTGGTGAGTTGTTTTCCTGCTCCGTGTCACCTACGACTTGTAAACTGCCCTTTATTTAGTCCTGCAGGACCACAGCCCATGCATGCAGCCAGTTTACTAGGGTGTGAAGAGCTCTCCTCTCCACTTTAGCGTGTGGGCAGCGTGGTGGGATCATTTTTCCTTGGGAAGGATAAAGGTA